TTAATATTGTTGTTGTTGTGGACTTTGCAAGCTTTAATGATAGGATATTCCTTTTTTCTCTTTGAAACTGACAATTACCCAAAAAAGATAATCCTCCATATACAATATGACAATTATAACGACTTTGTATATGCTCTCACAACACTAGAACCAATTACAACAGAAGGAACTACGAGCAGTTCGTCAGGTGAGGGGACATTTTTGTTCAAAATATTTGAATTAACTTTCAAAAGTGTTATTCTCATTTTTATTAATTTGTATTGTAACCTTACCTTGTTATCTTATTTTTGATAATCTTAATTTTGTTCTCTTGCCATTACTCTCTATAGTTTTACTAGCATCAATATTGTGAGGCGCTTTGAAAAATGTCATGTGGAAAGAGCTATATAAGTTGAAGTTATTATTATTATAATTAATATTTGTTGTTGTTGTGGACTTTGCAAGCTTTAATGATAGGATATTTCTTTTTCTCTTTGAAACTGACAATTACACCAAAAAGATAATCCTCCATATACGGTATGACAATTCTAAAGACTATGTATATGCTCTCACAACACTAGAACCAATTACAACAGAAGGAAATACGAGCAGGTCGTCAGGTGAGGGGACATTTTTGTTCAAGATATTTGAATTAACTTTCAAAAGTGTTATTCTCATTTTTTATTAATTTGTATTGTAACCTTTCCTTGTTATCTTAGTTTTGATAATCTTAATTTTGTTCTCTTGCCATTACTCTCTATAGTTTTACTAGCATCAATATTGTGAAGCGCTTTGAAAAATGTCATGTGGAAAGAGCTATATAACTTGAAGTTATTATTATTGTAATTAATATTTGTTGTTGTTGTGGACTTTGCAAGCTTTAATGATAGGATATTCCTTTTTTCTCTTTGAAACTGACAATTACCCCAAAAAGATAATCCTCCATATACGGTATGACAATTCTAACGACTCTGTATATGCTCTCACAACACTAGAACCAATTACAACAGAAGGAAATACGAGCAGTTCGTCAGGTGAGGGGACATTTTTGTTCAAGATATTTGAATTAACTTTCAAAAGTGTTATTCTCATTTTTATTAATTTGTATTGTAACCTTTCCTTGTTATCTTAGTTTTGATAATCTTAATTTTGTTCTCTTGCCATTACTCTCTATAGTTTTACTAGCATCAATATTGTGAAGCGCTTTGAAAAATGTCATGTGGAAAGAGCTATATAAAGTTGAAGTTATTATTATATATAATTAATATTTGTTGTTGTGGACTTTGCAAACTTTAATGATAGGATATTCCTTTTTCTCTTTGAAACTGACAATTACCCCAAAAAGATAATCCTCCATATACGGTATGACATTTCTAACGACTCTGTATATGCTCTCACAACACTAGAACCAATTACAACAGAAGGAAATACGAGCAGTTCTTCAGGTGAGGGGACATTTTTGTTCAAGATATTTGAATTAACTTTCAAAAGTGTTATTCTCATTTGTATTAATTTGTATTGTAACCTTACCTTGTTATCTTATTTTTGATAATCTTAATTTTGTTCTCTTGCCATTACTCTCTATAGTTTTACTTGCATCAATATTGTGAAGCGCTTTGAAAAATGTCATGTGGAAAGAGCTATATAAGTTGAAGTTATTATTATTATAATTAATATTTGTTGTTGTTGTGGACTTTGCAAGCTTTAATGATAGGATATTTCTTTTTCTCTTTGAAACTGACAATTACACCAAAAAGATAATCCTCCATATACAGTATGACAATTATAACGACTATGTATATGCTCTCACAACACTAGAACCAATTACAACAGAAGGAACTACGAGCAGTTCGTCAGGTGAGGGGACATTTTTGTTCAAAATATTTGAATTAACTTTCAAAAGTGTTATTCTCATTTTTATTAATTTGTATTGTAACCTTACCTTGTTATCTTATTTTTGATAATCTTAATTTTGTTCTCTTGCCATTACTCTCTATAGTTTTACTAGCATCAGTATTGTGAAGCGCTTTGAAAAATGTCATGTGGAAAGAGCTATATAAAGTTGAAGTTATTATTATATATAATTAATATTTGTTGTTGTGGACTTTGCAAGCTTTAATGATAGGATATTCCTGTTTCTCTTTGAAAATGACAATTACACCAAAAAGATAATCCTCCATATACAGTATGACAATTCTAACGACTCTGTATATGCTCTCACAACACTAGAACCAATTACAACAGAAGGAACTACGAGCAGTTCGTCAGGTGAGGGGACATTTTTGTTCAAAATATTTGAATTAACTTTCAAAAGTATAATTCTCATTTTGGTTATTTGTTCATTATTTTTAATTGAACATCTTTGTGGAAAAAATGTCTTTGTTTGACTTACAAGAATATAGTTATTTTTCTAACGTTTTAAGGTAATAAACTGAGGTGTATTATTGTGATTGTTATCTCTCCAAATCTAAACAATGATGAATAGGTGAACAATACATTTTAGTGAGATGAGGGGAAATAATGGAATGTATGACTTTCATTTGTTTGATATTGCTTTATTCGGTGTCTGCGCGTGTTATATGTCTTATCAATTACTTCTTTAAATGATAGACATAATCATACGGGGTAAATATTTATCATGATTAAACACAAAGAAGTAAATTTGATGTTGAATTTGTCTCACACACCCGTCCATTCTCCTTATTATCATCTGATATAGAACGTTAGTGGAAGAAGGGTAGATGAAGGGAAGATACAAGCTTGAGTTCACATTACAATTTAGCTTTTCGATTGGAGTGTAAACTGAAACTCTCTGTGCAATTTCAACGGTATAAGTACTTTATCACTTTAAACACCTGATGAAAATAACAGAATTTATAGTAATATATATCTCTTTAAGATCTGAATATAAAGACTACAGTACGTTGCTAGATGAACTCCTCAAAAAGAGAGAGAGGGAGGCTTCGGTCACAATATTTCTGATGAACTTTTTTTTACAATACAAGTAATTCATCACTTTAAGCATCTGATGAATAAGCCATTGTTACAAACTATGCCAGTATAAATTATGATATGCGATATACAAATATCAGAAAGATCACTGTCAAAGGATGTGTTCTCATCCAAGCAATGTATATTGTTTCCTTGTTACTTTTACAAATATTAACCTACAATGTATCTGTGAACACGGACCAGAGTCCAAAGTCATGTTAATGCATTGATTGAAGCGAGGCATCATGGTATAAGTGAATACGCATACAAAATTGTTCCTCAATTTCATCAGGAGGTTCCTGTTTTGATCAGAATAAATTCAATCGGGAATTCTCCCAATGATATATTTGATTCAGTATCTGAAAGATTCAAGGTTTCAATGTTTCTTTATTTTCCACAAGATATAAACATAATCAAATAAATAAGTAATATACAAATTCAATAACATAATATAAACAAAATATTTTACAAATTATTATAAAATTATGTTAATAAATCATTTAAGATTGGCACAGAAGTACAGAATAGTGGAGGAGTCTATTTAAAAAGCATGGCTTGTATTTTTTAGACCCCTTGGGAATAAAGCTCTGTAATATGTAATTAGAAGATATATGTGTAAGATGCTTAGGTAATTAGATAAACTACTATAGAAAAATTCAGGGTTGCTGTCGGTAAAATGTGAACAGATTTCTTTTTGATGAACAGTATTTTTGTTTTGTATAGCTTGAACACGGTTGTTATTGTATTTAAAAAACAAACAGTTATTGGGCATAAATTTGATTATTGAATTTGTATATATATAAATATATATATAGAAACCTATATGTTATATTATTGTCTTTCGAGACAGATGCTGAGGAGGTATGGTGATCTTACATTTGCTCGGGGGAAATTTTTATCCTGTTATTATTTTCGTCAAAAGTATAGGGTAAGGGTTACAATTGGGTTTTAGGTTAGGTTTAGAGTAAGTGTTACAGTTGTGATTTGGTTTTAGGTAAGGTTTAGATTAAGAGTTACGGTTGTAACTGGGTTTCAGGTTAGGTTTAGGGTAAGGGTTACGGTTGCGATTAGATTTTGCGGTTAGGTTAAGGGTAAGGGTTAGGATGAAGTATAGTATTTGGTTAGTGTATGGAATGGATCTGGAGCATTCGTCCCGTTAGAATGTGTCATCATAGGTTTGATGATTTCATCTACACTGTCGCTCATATAGGTGGAATATTTTTGTTTTACCCCAATTTATGGAATTATTCTAAAAAGTAATTAAAAAAAATAAAAGATCTAGATAAAAGTATACATTCTCAGATGTTATTAAATATTAATTTGCTAATGTGTGTTTTGCGTGACTGCTAAAGCATGTGTATGCTTCTATGCTTATCAAATAGGGGACCTACGCCCTTAAGTCATAAATGACAGTAATGAGAATTAATGCCCCACAAAAGGGCACTAATATAGCACATCGACACGGTTTTGATCCTGGGGCCTCACAGTTACGAGGCCATTGCTTTGTCACTGTACCATAACGCATGGCTATCCAGAGGATTTGTTTATGTTGGGGACCGGGGTAAAATGCAATAAATTATTGAAAATTTATTGCATTTTCTGTGTTTATTTTATTTATGGAAACTGCCCCCTACCCTAGCCCCCGCCTCGTACAGTCATGATTAAGTGACAAAGCAATGGCCTCGTAACTGTGAGGCCCCAGGATCAAAACCGTGTCGATGTGCTATATTATTGCCCTTTTGTGGGGCATTAATCCTCATAACTGTCATTTATGACTAAAGGATGTAGGTCCCCTATTTGATAAGCATAGTAGCATACACATGCTTTAGCATTCACGCAAAACACACATCGTCAAATTATTATTCAATAAAATCTGAGAATGTATACTATTATCTAGATCTATTATTTTTAAATTATTTTTAAAATAATTCCATAAATTGGGGTAAAACTAAAATATTCCAACTATATGAGCGACAGTGTAGAAGCTTGTGTCTTTAGATCTTGCATGCAACTTTGTTCACCATCCAGATCCCACACCATGTACCTGTGTGCCAACTGGTCTGGGTTCTGGGGCTTCTGCAGGTATAGCTGTCTTAGCTATCCTGTTAGTGGCTTCTGTCATCATCAACATCATTCAATTCATCATGTTGAGGAGACATGAGACCAGACCAGGTGATTACATTCATCAATTCTACTAGAATAGTTAAACGATGGAATCAGAACAAAGAAAAGCTATGTAAATGTATGTTTTATGATTGTTTTACCTGACGGCTTAGAAACTAGAAATGAGGATGGGGCCTTACCAAAGCACATGAGCATATTAACTTGGTATTGCTTAAAGAGGTTAAGGAAAGATACTACTGGAATTTGATAGCGAAAGTTTTTTTCTTGCATATTATAACATCTATCGCTTTCCTCAATGAATTTACCCATACCATATCAACACCTTAAGGATAGAGATCCATTTACTTGAGCTTAAATTTTACTTCCTTCTTGATAAATGTGCTATATATGTTTAGAGTGCGTAGAAAATGTTACAACATTTCTATGTTTGCCTCATCCTCTTCTTTGTCTTTTTTCAGGTTTTGAAGAGTCACACAAAACTGTTTCTAGGTTAGTATTTAGCAGTTAGAAATATTCTACAGAAGATTGAGATATATGTATCAATCGATAAATATTGATACAAACACTCTCCCCCACACACACATTCTCTCTCTCTTACTCATACACACAGTCACACACATCAATATTCGGATGTAGTGAAATATGAGAAACCACTGCAATTTAGGATGATATCATTATTCATGTGTTTCCGTTTCACATACGTAAAAAGTAAAGTCAGAAACTCGAGTTAGTATTTATATGAAACAACATTTAAGGGCATTGAAAAGTAGTTCATTTGAATGCACAATGAAGACATATTTCGTAATCTTGGAAACGAAGTTGATAAACCTATGTACTTTATCACATAAGACGAAAAAAACTGCTCTAATACGAGTCATTGGAAATTAGTTCGGTGAGATGGCCATGAGATGGCGCTGTGAAATAAAAAAGGAGCAGAGAGTTTGGCCATCTTGGTTTCACTGGGTCACAGCATGGCGTATATTCTTTTGTTTTGTGCCTGCCCAAGAAAGCAGTAGTCGCCATATTGTGTCCGACTCGAATCGGGTTGACCAAATTCTGTGTATATAGATGGCTCTGAATATTGATAAACACAGTTTTTCTGATAAACTGAGTTTATCTAGTTTTTACACAATGGGCTTGCCATAGCCGGGCCCGTAGAATTGAGCCCGTGGATCCGCGCCTGACTGAATAGTAGGATGAGGCAGAAAGGTCATTTGTTCAGTATCGCTGTTAATGCCTCATTAAGGAACAATTTGTTCATTTTTTCACAGAGAAGAAAGACATGTATCCCATGAGGCAAACGACAACACGGCGTATGAGATGATTCAGAACGGAGATAAAGGTGAGAAAATGTGTAAAATCATTCAAGAGTTTACAACGAGGTAAGCATTAGTACCACGAAGATTACTCACGAAGTAAAAGAGGGTTGTGAATTGCCATAACAACGTAGACAAAACGTCTCACAACCACACAAAAACTATAGTACTTAATGATAATCATTTTATCCCAAACTGCACATTACATCGTAACTATTAAGGGTATTACTTGATTAATTACAGTAATTAAAGTATATTCCACAGGAAACATTAAAAGCTTAATCATTCTCCCTGATCAGAATTGTGCTAGGCCAACTAATTTAACAGGGGTTTTAAGACTTACCTCTAATATCGCAAATTTACCTCTCCCTCCCACACACACACGCACGCACACACACATATACACGCACACCCACACACAATCACACACACATACACATACCACTTATGAGTTTATGGTGAATACTTTTTCACTTTCGATTTATATTTGAAAGAAATCTAGAAAAAATTATCCAAGGGTAGCCTTATTCCTGCTTAGAGGGTGAAAGATTGCTTGTATTTTTGATATTTCAAGTATTTTAATCGTTTTAATAAGAATCTAATGTTTGTCTTTGTAGCATACACATCTCTCAAACTCGGTCCATCCGACTCTCCCATCATTGCTCCTGAAAACGTGACGTTTTTCACCAGACTCGGTTCAATTGGACGGGGTGACTTCGGCGGAGTATGGAAGGGGGAACTCCGCTCGAATCAAAGTCAAGTAGACGTTGCTATCAGGCAGATTCCAGGTGGGTTTTGCCAACCACTCCCTATAAAACAATAATGAGTAAAAAAAAAAAAAAAAAAGACCTAAAGGCAAATCACTTTGATGTATATCAATGTACCCTACAATAAAATGGAACTTTACGAGATGTTGTTTTATCATTGATAAACAGAGATATGCCATCAGCTTTCTAGAAAGTTATATTTCAGTATGACCAGAACAAACGTATAAAGTAACGCCTCGCTTGAACAGTAATTCTGTTAACCCTATGTATCTATAAATACTTATCTAAACGGTTTTACCTCGATCTTGTATTTACAGCTGTATGATTGACTTCTGGCTAATGATCTTACGGCACCACTCTCTTCGAATTTGAAAACCCAAATAGTCAAAATAGTTATAAATAAGATGTATCTTCTCTTAGATCAAGTGACCATATCAACCAACGTTCTTCGAGCTGTCAAGGTCCTTTCTGAGCTACCGGATCAACCGAATGTTGTCAAGTGCCTGGGATATTGTCAAGAACAAGGTAAAACACCCCTCGGTCAACTAATAATCTTTCGAGTGTCTGTTTAATTATATACATATTATTTTGAATATGAGCGTTTTTTTTCTAATAATGTGGAGCGCAACCTTTGTATTCAAGTCAGTATAGCTATTCTATCCTGCCTGAAGGTACGTAGCAATTTAAGTAGACTCCGCCTCTGAAGAACCCAAAACGATTCAATCAGTAAAACAAGAGGGTCTTGGAAGAACAGTCATTTGTATTTAGTAATAAACCCAAACGTTTCCAATATAATATCATGATGTCTAATGAAACATGTTACAAATCAGTTTCATACATTTATTTCTTCAATTGAACGAATTGCCGATGATGCAGGTAGCATTCTGTATGAGTTCATCTCTGGAGGTACCCTACTCACCCATCTACAGACCACAGGGGTGCAATCCCAACCCACATACGGCAATCTCAAACCAAACGGAGTTCGTATCGATGAAGGTAGTCTACTCAACCTGGCTTGGCAAATTGCAAAAGGGATGCAGTATCTTGCATCAAAGAAGGTACCCTTATTTCATGACTTGCAATAGAATAAAATTAACAAAGGAGAAGGGGAAAGAGGGAGGGGGACAGGACAGAGGGGATACCAGAAGGATGAGAATTACATAAATGGACTAAGAAAGTGGAAGAATAGGAGAGGAGTAAGCCAGTATGGTACGAGGGTTATTACGCTGATCAAAGGTGTATGAATAACATCCAGATTATATAATTGTGGATTTTATTCATTTAATTATTTATTATTGTTATCATTAAGTTGTTTTTGTTTTGTTTTTTTTTGTTTACAAAGATCATCCACGGAACTCTTTGCGCTCACAATGTGTTAATAGCTGATAGAAAGCAATGCAAGCTATCAGATTATGGATTATCTTCATTATTGTTTAGCGGCAGAGGTGTGAGTATTATCACCTTATTTAATGATTATAATTATCATCAGCATAGAGATGGATGGCACATCTTTAATGAGGACCACAATCTATTTAATCGACAGAACATATCGGAAAATCTTGATACTACCAAAACGTCACCACGGAATTACATGTATGTGTTTCATGATTTATCACGTTAGTAATTTCCCCCTTAAATTGTTACCCATAATATTTATACACCCTGAGCAATGTTATTGACCGTGGTGTTTGTATAATATTTGGCATATGCAATATTGATTTTGATGTATTATCGAATCTGCTTGTAAATTGTGAAAAATTCAGCCATCGTCTGATAATCACGGTTCGTTTTAAACCATGAACAAATGATAATAAACTCTAAACACGATTTTCAACCTTTTTTTCTATACTTTCCAACTTTTCAGAAACCAACAAGATGGAGTTCGCCTGAAACCATGGTTACGGGTGACCAATCAACAGAAGGAGATAGCTGGTCTTTTGGTATCGTCTTGTGGGAAATTGTGACATTAGGTGAACAAATAATGTTCATATCGCATATAATTGTGCGTACCATCTTAAAGACCATGAAGTTCTTTACGTAGGAAGCCTTATAAGCGTTACATCTGTCCTTTATCAGGGCCCTTCTATTATTATTACCCTTGCAATATTATTGTTAGGTGGGTGGAGTGGGTGGAGAGTCGTAAATATGTATTAACGACTTGCCAAAGGAAGATAGTGCCGAGTTGGGATTCGAACCCTTACACCTCGGATTGAGAGTCAAGAGAATGAGACACTCTACCACGACCCCTCCACTTCAGGTGTAACATATGGTGATATGAAGAAAAGTGAAATAAGTCATTGCACTTAAATAATCAAAATATATCATGACTAATACTTGTTTGATGCATTTTAGAGGTGAAGAATTCAAGCCACTTATGGCACTCTATAAGACTCACCAATAATATTTGCGATTTAAAAAATATTTATTGCATTATTCGTATTCAAATACATGCCGCAGATATGAATAACATTTAGTCTAAATTTATCAACTTAATTCCGCTTGTACTGTCAAGGGTTGATGACAAATTCTATATACATGTATATGATAAATACATATAATTTCTCTCAAAAGCTTTGGATGTCACATATTCGTATATTGAAACAAATATTTTATTAAACAAAATTATTTTTCCTCGATTTTCTCAGGGGCGAGGCCATACCCTAAAATGACCTTTGACACTGTCCAAATGGAGATTGCCAATGGTTACCAGATGTCACGCCCTCGCCATTGTGGACAAGAAGTGTAAATATTACTCTTTCAAGCGAATTGTTCTGTAAATGTCGTAATTTGACTCACTCGATGCTCTATTTATATTTCCTTGATTTCATGATGATGTTTTGTATCAAATGCAGATATATTTCCAAACATTAAGAAACACAATTACACTTGATTCTGCAAACTTTCTTTTGAATCAGAATCTGAAGCTGAAAATAATACGTCTCAACACTCAACAGAGAAAATGATAGAATGATAAAAACAATGAATAACATAAGACAAGGTGATAGTGATACAAGGAAAAAAAAAGAATAACATGAGGAATGGTAGGAACAAAGTGATAAAACGATAAAAACAAAGAATAACACAAGAGAAGGTGATGAAAGGAAGAAACAAACAGTAACATAAGGAAACGCAGAAAGAGAAAGTGATATAAGGATAAAAGCAAAGCATAACATAAGAGAAGGTGATAGAAGGAAGAAACAAAAAATAACATAAGGAAAGACAGAAAGAGAAAGTGATAAAAGGATAAAAACAGAGAATAATATAAAAGAAGGTGATAAAACGACCCGGACTGGGTGCGCACATAAAATAATGAAACAACAGTGATGAAACTGCAGTTGCACGTGAACTTTGAATTTGTCGGCATTTTGTATTTGTCTTTGTATTATATTCGATTCGGTAGTTCTATCAGATTTCTATTCGATAAGGATTATCTTTTTCGTATCGTATCAGGTATTCGGTCATGTCTGGTTGTTGGGAGAAGGAAGCTACACATCGGAGTAACTTTGATCAGATCCTCAAGAGTTTGGAAAGGATTCTAGAAAAGACTCATGTAAGATGGTCTGAAATTTCCTTCTTTGTACATGACTATTGCATTATTTAGTTTCCTTATACATTTCCATTTGTATAATTCCGATACTACATTAATCTCAGTTCAGAAGGGATAATCAAAATCCCGGAAAAAAAATAATTCTAGCCCTAATCCTATAATTATCTTGGTAATTTTGGTGATATATTACATTTTTCTCACGATTTAACTTTTTGTCCGTATCCTTCATATTTTTGTTCATTTATACAAAATTACCATATTTTGCATAATGCTTACCCTCCTTTAATTACCATATCTCATGATAATGTCTGACTTTTATTACTATAATAATTATAACTATTATTATTATTATTATGATTATGATTATTGTTTTTATTATTATTATAATTACTTTTGATTTGCACAGAATTACCTTTCTCTCAATGACTTGGATGAAGGATTGTATGCGTCTACACTGGACATGTGAAATTAAGCCTTGTTCGGATGTGCAGCGATACTACAATGCATCTACATCTTTTACACTGTAGGATGGTTGGATCCAAGCCAACTAGCTCGGACTACAGGGATATTATAGGAAAATTATAGAGACTAACTGCTGTAACATTTAAACAAGAATGATGAATCATGCTATCGAAAATGCTTGTTTGAATTGTGCATATGTATATATATATATATACGTCTTTTGTTTTTTAGTTTTGTAGACATTTTAGAGAAACACTTGCTTAAAGAAGTAATGTTTAAAATGTCAATAGGTGAAGGTATTCTAGAGTAAAATAAATAAATAAATAAATACAGATATTTAAAGGTCCCGTGTGTTGAAAATGATCTCATATATTTAACAGCACATTCTCATGACTCTCTGTCGGTTTTATTGTATACATACTGTGTGAAACTCCTAAGATACCTAGCCACATTTGCCACTGTTTATGTTATTTCATAGCGTTGTTGTATGTGGATGACCACCTACTCCCATTCTTATTTCTTTTTGCACTCCCTCTGTCTCTCTCTCTCTCTATCTTTTTCGCTTCTCTCTATCTCGCACTCTTTCCTTTTCCCCTGTATTTCCCTTGTACCTTTCTTTTTCCCTCCCTGTCTCGCCACTATTCTCCCATCTTCTATTGTTCTTGCAATCTCAGCCCTCTCTTCCACCCTGTCCCTTCCACCTGCCTCCTTACAACATTTAATGTTGGTAGTCATTATAAATATGAAGGATATTATACTATACTGTGCTAAGGTTATGTCAATAGTTTTTCGCTGGTAACATGTGACGGTATGGCTAAACGATTATTTCTATGCAATACTTCGAATACATGTCAAACATTTTCACATAAAGGAATCATCTTTTAAAATAATTTGTACATTATATTTATACAGAATGGATCTGCATGTGATATTATGCAAGGTGTTATAGTATAAATCTCAGCACTTACTAAATATAGAAATCAAATGATTCCAGACCATATAGTTCTGGAGTATACATAAAGTTATTTCACAACTCAACAAGACTGAAGAAGATATAAAGAGATTTTGTATTGAAACGTGTATTTCAAAGAGAAAACAGAGAAAGCATAGAAATACAATGTAGCGGAAAGGAAAATATACAAAGAATACGATACAATATGACTAACTAAATGAATTGATGAAGTTCATCTGATAATTTGACTGCTATGTGTAAGTTCAATTTGATGTTGTAGTTACCTCTTGTGTTATTCATGAAATATTTATCTTCTATAGATAAAATATATATCGTCCAATGTTTTTACGCAGTCACATTCATGTTTGTCGCAAACCTTTATCTTGAAGCATACTCGAGCAAAGGCTAAAAATAAATCACATTTTTTTAAAATATTTTTTTAAAACTCATTTATTCACGTTTGACATAGACAAACTGATATAATTTTGAATTCATTTGATACTGCTTTTTTCTTGTAATGTATTTATGTGAAGCTATGGTGGCTCCTAAGGGACACGCAAACGCAAAATTTCACGTCTTTGACGTGAAAATCCACAAATGTGTTGCATATGTATACGTCAAATTTGTGGATTTTCACGTCTTTGACGTATAAATCCACAAATTTGTTGCAAAGGTATACGTCAAATTTTGCGTATGCGTGTCCCTTAGGAGCCACCATAGACTACTATTAAACTTTCAATTTACTTTTGACTCTGATGATTTCAATTAAACTGACGAAGATTTGTCAAAAGATAATGATATCATAGTCATGACTAGGCCTATTAAAGGTCTAATAATATTGTTATAATATTGAAAATATCGCTTATGAAAAACGTATATGTATGGCACATGTAGAGTAAAATAAATGTGCAGATGATTCAGTTTTAGTTTCAATTGTCTGTTCTAAAAAAATAACCAAGGTTCTTTACTGTCTGTAATTGTTTTTTTTTATTTGTATTAAAGAATGTTAAAAAAAAGGCTCATGGTATGTTACTTATATCTTTTGCGTAATAAAAGTTGATAAAGAAAAAAGAAAACGTTTTTTTAGCGTACATTTGCATATCCGTAGTTTGAAATTGGGGCATATTAAAACAAGATATGTTGGCGTCGAAATGTTTAAAAAAAAATAAAGTTAGACTTTCATATCAATAGGCCCCTATCTGAAAATACTACAAACTAACAAAAACAGGACTTCTGAAATGAGAGAGAGAGAGAGAGAGGGGCGAAGGATGGGGAGGTAGCGCACTTGTAATATCTAAAAAAGACATTTAGGATACTGTTTAAGCTGTTATCTTATATCTCGTATATATATTTGTGAATTAACCAACTTAAATCAACTAATATCAATATAAATTCGAGTAGAGAGAGGGAGACGTCTAAAGGATCCCCCCACCCCCCCCCCCAAAAAAAATGTAAAATCTCTAAATAAAAAAAAGGACTTCACACTTCACCGGTGTGTTGGCTCAGTCAGCAGAGCGTCCGCCTCACAACCAGGAGGTCGTGGGTTCGAACCCCGGCCGCGTCATACCAAAATACGTTAAAAGACGGGAGTTGCTGCTACCTTGTTTGGCGTTCAACAATAGGGACTTTTAGATTGCAAGAAGACAATGTGGATTGTTACGGTCGACGTCCTTTTAATGCACTGCTTTGAATGGACGTCACACGTATCAGTCCACGCAAATCTAAAAGTCCCTACCAAGGGATAGAGCAACGTCGATCTGGCTGCCGGGCTCACGATCAATTGGACAAAAAGAATTTCCATTTTCGGTTTAACTTAACAAAATTTGGAGTGGACTTTAAAGGATTATTATTATTATTATTATTATTATTATTAAATATGAATTTAAACAATATCTAAACGCTGTTTTCCTGAATGAATCCCTAATTACTGTATTTAGCTTCAGTTCATGTTATGGTTTGCGAAAATTTCTCTTCGCGGAGTTATTCACACTGTTAAGAAATACTGCGTCTATTGATAATTGATGGAGGATAGTGACCTAGTGAGAAAGTTGTTGATTTTGAAATGACGCTAGTTTTTTATTTTTGGGTACTTTAAAACTTTTTTTATACATCGGTGTAATGATAAATAATTACATAAAACTTTTTGTTCCCCCAGATTTTTTTTAATTATTGGGAGGAGGTGGGGGTTTGGTAGGAATTTCGAATCTTCCCCCTTTGACCCCCTTTTTAAGGCCTTAGTATAGATCTTTACCATAATGACAGGTTTCAAGTTTGATCTCTTCCAACTATTACGAAACAAATATTTGCGTGTTAGAAATATAGAATTTGAATGAAATATGATAAGTTCATCATGTTATGGATTGCAAAAACAAGTTTTGATAATTTACAAACATTAAACCCATTAATATGATTCTGTACGAGGTCATAATGTCATTTATTATGATGTATAGCCTATGCTCTCCAACGATATATGTTGACGAAACAAAAAACAGAGTAGAACTTGTTTGCAATACGCCCTCACGCAGCATGCAAGGTTCGATTTATGTATAAATCGTTCATATCAATTGTGACCATGGATTTACTGTTTTGATTCTTAGCTCTTCTCAAAATTAGCTCTTCTCTTGAATTAGTACCATGTGTATGGAATTCTTTAGGTAGCTGTAAAGGTGAGTGTGATCGCTATTTTCATTACTTTATATTTATGTTTTCACTACTATGTTACTGACATTGCACAGTAGATGGCAAATATACGACTGTAATAATTTATTAGCTGCAGTTTATCTTTAAAGAGCTTTCCTTTTGGCAACTTCGTTTTGCAGTTAATAATTCGAATTGCACTCTAATCTAGAATTTGACTAATACATGTACCAGCTAGCCTATCTAAAGAATCTAAAATTTGCTTGTCGAGCAAAAATGAAGCAATTGAGCTCCTATGTGAGTGCTTAAATACCCGTCTCGTAAGGTAAACGCACGACCTTGCAAAGCTTTCTCGTTTCCGTTCATTTGTAACAAAAAGGTTGTCTGTAAAAGCTAAAGTACTTGGCAATTTTCTGCCATAACTTTCCGGCTCATCATTAAAACGCGTTTCGGACATTAATTCGAAATTCATAAAATAGGCGGTTATTCAGGAGCTGCGGTATGCCTGAAAAAACATGGTGGGCGCTGAAAACGTGTTGATAACGATATGGGACATATCGACAGGGGGGGGGGGAGGAGGTAGGAGGAGGGGTATTAGAATGTAAATTACGGCGGATAAGGGCATTGAATATAATATAATGAAATTACAGATCTTTGACTGAGTTACTAAATTCTCCAATGATTGTCATGGTCATCCGCTGAGTTCTCCAAATTGCATAACTTTCTTATTAGTTGTATATTCCGTATGTTTTGTCTTAAATAGTTGTCTCTAAAAATCCTGGTTACTAATGACATGAAATTGATACCCCTAACGGCATATCTACAGGCAAGCGCGTACGCAAGGGAGGGGGGGGGGGTTAAACCTTCTCACTGTTTATGTTAGTGGAACAAAGTTTAAAAATGTAAAGGGGGGGTGGGTATTGATAAATAAAACAAATAAGTGCACCTTACCCCGCCCCCCACTGAGCGACATATCGGCCGGCGGGATTCTCAAATTTTAAAAAACTCCCCTTGAAACAGTTTTAGGTGGAATGCACTTTGCATACATTTATTGTTGCCATGCCTGGCAAGCCTTTGGCTCATCTTCAAAAAGTATGCGTGAAACTAGTAAACCGCTATATAAAATTGAAATCTCAATTATATATTTTATAATATTTTAATTTCAAAAACAGATCTATCATGCAAATTAGATTTGGAGATGATTTGAAGTCGCAACAATTCAACTAAAGCTCTCCATAAGAGTCAGCAAAATGTTATGCCCAGAATTTTCTATATTCAAGGAGACATCGGCAATGGAGCTGTTTAGCATGGATGGTTTGAATGCATTACAGATTTTTACAGTCCTCGCGCTTGTTCATGGTAAGTAGTTTTTAATTCATCTCTTTATTAAATACTAATCTGATATCGCGTATTAAAGAAGGGTATGAAACATGAATACTAAATAGTTCTCTTATATATTCATATATTATGAACACATTTTCTAAAAAAAAATATGTCTATTATTCCCTGCAATGAAAGGTCGAAATTCGAACTAAAATGACAAAAACACATCAATACTGCTATATGCACTCAGAAAATTCCATGCATATTCAAATGTTTCAGCACTTTCATATAAATCTTTAACACAATG